GTGCAAATGACTGCCTTATTATTTGAAAACTGATATATTTGCAATTGATTATAGCATTGTCTGTAAAATGTTTATTTGCGAATTAACATCCCATAAATTTTGATAATTTCGTAATCTTGAATTTCTATAAGAGCTTTTCTATACATATTAAATTGGCAATTATGCTAAAATGTCTTTACGAACAGCTGCCTTTCTAAATTTAGCCCAAAATATTTTACTGGTTATTTTTGAAATGTTATTGAAAGTGACTGTTATTAATGGTTTCAGTAAAATTCATATTAATAATTTAAATGATATGTTGAATACATGATATTGCTGCTTTTGAATGTTTAAAGAGATTTAGAAATACTTTAAGTATGTAAGTAGACTCATCCGGTTCGTCGGTGAAGTATAAGTGGACCTATCCGGTACGTCGGTAGAGATTAAGTGGGCCTATCTGAGACGCTGATAGGGATTAAATGGACCCATCAGGACGCTGATGGGGTATATAGATGACCTACTTGGGACGCCAGTAGGGTAATTTGTGAAATCCTTTGAATTATGCACTGCCGTTAAAATGTTATATGCATTTCAATTATTCGGATTATACTTAATTATGTATTTTTAAAAGTGAAACTGTTAATGCATTTCTGTTAATTGATCTCCTTTTTTAAAATATTGATATCTTTCAACCATGATTATTTTTAGGATTATGATGATCACTTACTAAGTAGCTAAACTCATCAAATTATGGTAAATATTTTTTTTTAGGATAACTGCGGTTTCATTTTGAATGTTCGTCAGGATCAACTCTGGAAGAAATTGTTGTTGTGCTTAAAGTTTCTTTTGTTACTTTGTAAAAATTCGTCATTGTAAATTTGTCCTATCATGAGATGTATATATGTTTTGACTGTCACATCTCAAGAATATCAATATTGTAAATTCTTGAGGTGTAACAGACCTAGAGCATGACTGTTCTGTGGAGTAAGTGAAGTGGGTTTATCTCTCATACTCAGTTCTGGGCAATGTTCTCTCTCTCACACACACAATCCATGCCCCAGTGAAGTGTTGCAACATGGTTTTATCCCTCACAGCCACTAACCCTTGACCCGTCAGTTATATATGGTTTCTTATGATTCTCTCTCCTTAATCCTACCAGTAGTCCATGCATGAGCATGATCCAGCTCTGAAATGATGGAACCTGGTTTTATCCCTCACTATCACTTCTCTCTCATAGATCTTCGATATGAATTTTGCCAAGGAATGACAATCTCCACACATTCTCAGGTTCTTCACAATGCGTATGGTCGCTTTAGGCTTTGAACCAATTAGCCCAAAGGCAATTGCAAGCTTTTCACTGTGCCTTAGAAGTGCACTCTGTCTCTCTTCCTCTCCTATATCCAACAGAACCTCTGATGTGTCTGGTATATATCCGGCAGGCTTCGATTTCACAACCATCTCTTCCAATTTCAAGTAAATTTTCTTTGATTGAGGGTGAGTATTATCACCTGCAAAAAATTCGTGGACAACTCCGTTGATCTCAATCAAGCTACATCCTGGTTCTTTCTTAATCCCTTTCTCACTCATCATGCTACGAAGTTTTCGAACTTCTTCCCATCTATTACATGAGGCATATAAATTAGAGAGTAAGACATAAGCAGCATTGTTCTGTGGGTCCAAATCAACGAGTTCCCTCCCCGCTTTCTCTGCAATTTCTATGTCCTTATGAACTCTACAAGCTCCAAGCAAAGTACCCCAAATTTTTGAATTTGGTTTCATTGGCATTGTTTCTATGAGTTCTTGGGCTTCTTTTAGATGGCCCATCTTGCCAAGAAGATCAACCATGCACCCATAATGCACAACATTGGGTGAAATTTGATATCTCTTCTCCATGAGAGAGAAAAGTTCTTTTCCTTTCTCTATCATCCCTGCATGTGTACATGCACATAGAAGACCAATAAATGTGATCTCATCTGGTCTGACTCCAGCTCTTTGCATTTTTCGAAAGAGATTGAGAGCTTCTTGTGCATGCCCATGGACTCCAAGCCCCATGATCATTGATGTCCAGGTGAACTTGTCTCTCTTCTTCATTTCTCTAAAAATTTCCATAGCTCTGTCTATGTTTCCGCACTTTGAGTACATGTCTATCAGTGCATTCCCCACAAAAACGTCAGTTCGAATGTTTTCTCGTTCTATGTAAACCCGAATCCATTCTCCCACTTCAAGAGCCCCAAGATGGGAACAAGCAGTGAGCACACTCACCATCGTGTACTCATCAGGTCTGATCTTTGAAACCTGCATCTCTCTAAAAATCTCTAAAGCTTCTTTGAACCTATTGCTCCTGATACACCCGTCGATCATGGCAGTCCATGAAATTGAATCTCTCTCTGCCATCTGATCGAAAAGCTTTCTTGCTTGATCAATTAACCCTAAATTTGCATACCCCACAACCATGGATGTCCATGAAATGATGTCTCTATTGTTCATGCCATCAAACAAATCATGTGCAATATCCATACATCCACACGATGCATACATGTCAATGAGAGCATTCTCTATTATCAAATTGGTCTTTATGTCACTAAGTTTAATATAATTATGTATTCTCTTTCCTATGCTCAAGTCCTTGAGTTTTGCACAGGCAGAGAGGGCAGAAACCACTGTAACCGAATTCGGTCGTGCATTGTCTCTCTCCATCTCTAGAAAGAGATCAACAGCTTCTCTAAATTGCTTCCTCTTTATGTAACCAGATATCATCGAATTCCAAGAAACCACATCTCTCTCAGGAAATCTATCGAACAATTGTCGAGCTCTCGTTGTTCTTCCACAAAGAGTGTACACATGAATCAAAGAATTGAGAACGTAAGTATCAGACCCATGACCAAATTTGAGCACCTGAGCGTGAATCTCTCTCCCAAATTTCAGTGCCCATTCATAGTTCAAAGACTTCAGAATTGAAGGAAAGGTGTATCGATCAGGAGGGATTGATTTATGCAACATTTCAATGTAGAGAGAGAAAGCGGCTTTTGGGGAGTTTCGACGAGAGTGACCAGTGATCATGGTATTCCAAATGAAGAGGTCGGGTTCTGAAATTTGATCGAAAACAAGGTGGGCATAGGCCATGTCGCCTTCCCTGTGAGTGCAACAAAAGGAGAGGAGTTGGCTCAATGCAAAATTGTGGTTTATGAGTTGGGTTCTGAGCATTTGCGCATGGATTTGTTTCAAGTGCTTCATGGATTTGCAGGTTTGGAAGAGAGAGGTTATTGATGAATTATGTGAGAGAGATTGGGGAGGTTGGTTTGGGATTGTGGATGGATAGAGAGAGGGTGAATTAAAGTTTGTGGAAATCATGGTTTTCAGGAACTTTGGGTGTGGGAAAAAATGGGAAGGAAGCTGCAGAGAGAGATTAGAGAACGATTTTCATTGTGCTCAAGAGGCAGAGCTCAAAAATATGAAAGAGAGATTAGACAACAATGAAAATAATACTGACGAGGCAAACTTCAAAAATATGATAAATATAAAGAGAGACAAAGACAAGTTTGAGGGGTCGGCTACATGAATCGTCGTATGTGAGAGGGATTATATAGTCGGCTACATGAGTCCTCGCATGTGAGAAGGATTATATAACCAGCAACATCCATCAATTTAAAAATCACCGATATTTATGGGAAATTGGCAAATTCCTAGATTGCTTTTTAAAAAGCATAGGAGTCAGCCTGATTGTAAACCCCCTTTTTCTATTTATTTTTTATTTTTGTAGGGAAAATTGCAACAAAAACGTATGAGACCACACTTTTATGCAACTTACCTCCAACTTAAGTCTTTTTCTCATTTTTTTCCCCAAAACAAACTTTTTATACAAATACCCCAAGGAAAAAAGTTTATTTTTTTACGGAAAAAAAAGTTTATTTTTTTACGGAAAAAAAAATTTATTTTTTTTGACAGAAATGCCCTTCCCGTATACATTGAAAAATTTTGACGTTGACTTTTGGACCCAGTAGCATATTGCCAGAGCAGCTGGAGCGCTCTTTGCAGCTGTCGGACCACCATTTGCAATTGCCGGACCGCCTTTGTGACTTCCAGATAACCTTTTTCAATTGTCGAACCGCACTTTACACAATGTTGGAGCCCGTTGGACCGCACTTTACACAATGATGGAGCCTTATTGCTAGACTAATAGTGCCGGAAAGCTACCCTGGACCGCACGTGTAAAGTGCTGGACCCTTACTGCTAGAATGACAATGCCAGCGAGCTACTCCTGGACCTGCTGGACCCTTACTGCTAGACTGACAGTGCCAGAGAGCTACTCCCGGACCGCATGTACAAGATGCCAGAGCTCCCTAGTTTGGTGGGATAGAGGAGAGAGAGGCGTGGGTAAGGGAGGTAGTTTAGGCATTTTTTTATACTTTTTTTTTGTTGGGGTTATTTGCATAGAAAGTATATTTTCGGAAAATGAGTGAAAGAAAAAGTTAGGTTGGGGTAAGTTGCATAGAAAGTATAATCTTGGGTTTTTTTTTTCTAATTTTCCCTTTTGTTTATCAACCCTAAACTATTTCAACATTTCTTCCACAATTGTCAATCCTCCCATTTATTTCATTGTTTATTTTATTTTAAAAAAAATTATAGATGTCCTCAAAATCAACTTTTTAGACATCCTATCCCCAATACTTTTTATATTGGGTGCAGTTTGTATACAGCCTAGTCTCTAAACCATCAAATTTGAGCCTACCTTCAAATAGTGTCCAGAAATATGATTTCAATATTGGAAAACTTTGTGATTGCTTTGAAATATATTTTTATATTTATTTATAAAATTTAAAGCTTAAAAAATAGTGTAGATCGATATATTTATGAAAATTTGAAAATATTGAAAATTTACGGTCAAAAAAATGCGTTACAAAATACACTATTTCCAAAACTTGCAATCCATTTTTTTCTCATGTCCATGCATCTTGATGTCGAGATACATTCGAAGATATTTGGGCATCAAAACAACATCTTCTAGTGAAAGTTTTGAGGTAGGCTCAAATTTGATTGTTTAGAGCCTCGGCCTTATATAAACTTTTCCCTTTGCTATTACACGTAGATCTACTAGGTATTTTTTCTTGGATTTACCCTAGTAAAAAAGTAAATAAAATTGAGAGAAATATCATTTCCCTCTATCTTCCCCATGTTTTTGTAATCACGTATTTTTATAGCGACACTTTCTCTCTAACCCCCCTTTCTCTCACTTTCTCTCTCTACTCACCTTCTCTCTCTACTCATCCTCTTTAAATCTCTTTCTTTCTTTACCCGCCCTCTATCTCATTTGTCACTCTACCTGCGCTCTCTTTATATCCTCTCTCCTACCCTCTAGCTCTCTCTCTGCCCACCCCCTTTCTCTCTACCTACCCTCTCTCGCTATCTCTCTTTTTTTCTCTCTCTACCTGCCCTCTCTCTCTTTTTCTCTCTATTTCTAATTTGGAATTCTAACTGGTCCGGCACAATAGACGCTGGATCGAAATTTTTTTGTGCAAGAACACCGGTCCAACATAACGGGTGCCGGACCGAATTGTTTTGTAGTCCGACACTTTTTATGTGTCGGACAGTAAATAATTTTGGTCCAATACACTGGGTGTCGGACCAATTTGAATTCCTAGATTGTAGCAAAAGAACAAAATCGAAACACAAGATTAATCATCAGAGAATGAGCTCCGCTGGATCCTACCTTTTTGGGGCCATATTGTAGCAAATCAAGCAAATTTCCTGGAAAAAAATGACTACAACAATAGGGAACGTCTTTGATTCTTAAAAGACAAGAAGGACAAGACGAATGACAAAGGTTCAAGACCCAACGGCCACCAAATATACATAGAGAGAGATTGAACGAAGTAGAAGTTATGGTTTGCTAAAGAAGCTAGACTCTAGAGAAAAAGAGCTTGGATACAAAGTTGGATAATTCAGAAATGGGAAGTCGATTTGATGTAGGGAAAAAATAAAACTAAATAAATAACAATAAAAAAAAAAGTAGAGAGAATATATCCTCTCTCAAAAGTCTGCACGGGAATTTATCCCAAAACAATATCTTCACGAAACCAAATTCTATTCAACTCAAAGTCTGTACGGGAATTTACCCCAAAACAATATCTTCACGAAACCAAATTCTGTTCAACTCATTTACTGATTTAGAATGAGGATACATCTTTTTAAGTAGCCTAATAAAAAGAAGATAAATAAAAGAGAAACTTCTCTACATATACTCTCTTATTTTATCTCTTCTCCTTATTTTCTCTCTTTCCTATTTTTTCTCTTTTAACTTCATGTGCGAGCTTGTAAATAGATAACCACGTTTTACAAAAGCTTCCCCTAAAAGAACCTTTTTTTCAAAAGATAAACCCTTTTAATATTCTATTTATTTTCAAACTAACCAACTCAATTAATCAATATCAAGTCACGCACAAGACAAACTCATGAGCACCTAATTATCCCTACGCATTCTCTATTCTTAAAAAAAATAAACAAAAAAAAATTAAAATAACCTTAATAATTCCTTAATTACATCATTGTCCCTCTTGGATCCTACAACCCTTCTTGGCCTAGCCACAAACTAGCGGCTGGGGCATGACTGCATCACAATTTTAGGTAGATGAAAAACCAAAGTTCAAAGCTTTGTCGCAACTTTTTTTAGCACATAGAGAGAGATAGAGTTTGGGCACAGAGAGTTTCCCTTGAGATTTCGTAGAGAGAGAGTTTGGGCATAGAGAGAGAGAGTTTGGGTACGTGAGATTTCGATAGAGAGGAGAGTTGAGGAGAGAGAAATTTCAAGGAGAAAATGTGAGATTTTGGTGGAGAGAGAAGTTCTAAAATCTAAAAGTATAAAACAGATAAATTTATGTATGGACGATATTGGGGTCGATTGCAAAATGAGATCATGTTTGTTCCAAATTACAGGAGGCACCTCCTTCGTGTAAAACAATTGCCCTGTGTTTGAAATACAAAAAAATTATCTGTTATCCCCAAAACCAGCAAGTCCTCTCTCTCTCCAAACAAAAATGGCAACACAAACTTGTGATCATCAACAAATTTTTCCGCCAAATTTCGAGAAGTTTCTCTCACTATCTAGCTCTAACTATTATCCGTTGCTTTTGGATGGAAATGTGATCAAAATCAAAGTTTAAATAATGGTTACTGGTGTGGATTTGGGGCTGTTACAGCAATTGAGAAACCAGCAAAGGCCTAATTTCCTGCAAATTTTGTGCTTCGAGATCCTTATCGTGGCCGAAAATTTCAGCGAACACAATAAAACTTCCATAAATGCGATCTTGAAATCAAATAATGGCATCTTCGGAGAAAAGAGGCTCTATTTTTGTGGATGGTGCTGTTTTTTGTGGCCATTGAGGAAGCAAGTGCAAAGGAGGTGAAGTATAGAAATGCTTATGCTTCGATGATATATATGGGGACGCCAAGAGACTATGAGTTCTATGTGGAGCGTAGGTTTATGTTGAGGTCTCTAAAACAACTCAAAGTGGAGGTGGATCTCATGGTTATAACGTTTAAAGATGTTCCTCTTTGATGAGTCGATGACTAGCAAGTGCTTGAACTTTATGCTTTTTGCCTCTCCTATCGATTCTCTCTCTAAAAATTTGATGTGTTTGTTTTTGGGGTGAGAAGTTGTTATCTTTGCACGTATCTTTGTTTATGTTGTGTGAGTGGGTGAATTCCACTTGTGTGTGTACCGTGCGTGTGTGCTTTGTTGCTGTAGAGAGAGAAAGAGGGATTCATGTCTGAAAGGTCGAAACTCGAAACAATTATATGCACTCTCTCCATCTTTTTTATTCTTTAGATCGAAGTTTTTACACGTAAGAGAGAGAAGGGTCGAGAGATTATTTTTTAATAATTGCAGAGTTAAGATATTAGAGAGAGAGATGGCTTGTTGGTTTTGGGGACAACAGATAGATGTCCAATATTGCAAATATCAGACAACGGTTTTGTTTTGAACCCCACATGTTTGGTGTTCGCATTACTGGACAGGGCGTAACTTGGAAAAAAAAACCCCACGAGGGGGGTACTGCCCGTAATTTGGGACAAACGTGATCCGATTTTATAATTGAATCCCCCCTCCCTACCCAAATTAGTACGTACGAAAATTTCTCTATAAAATATATGAGAAACTATTGAAAAAGGTATTTTTGTTCCAATTTTGTTGACTTTTTTATTAGAAGTAAATATAACAAAAATTTGTATTGGGTTTAAGTTGTGATACACAAAGTATTGGGAGTAAGAGGTCTAGAACGTTGATTTTGTGAGGGTATCTATAAATTTTCATTTACGTTATTTTATTTTGGTTACTTTTGCTAGTTTACGAATTTGCCATATGGAGTGCCTATCAAGCCAATCTGAATGGAATTCAGTAGGTGGACGATCTGTCCCGCCGATCCATGTTTTAAAACATTACATTATACTAAATGCATGTGATATATAACTTCAACCAATGCTTAGGGGGTAGGATAACCCTAATCAAAGCTACCTTGGCAAACCTTCTAGTATATTACTTTTCCCTTTTTTAAAGCACTTGCAAGTG